CGGATTGGGACCTGTTCATATACGTTCTTGGCAGATGATCCAGAAGTGGTTTGCCATTGCCTTCTTCTGTGTGTGAATGGAGTAATTGTTGGGATGCCACGGAGGAAAACTTCGTGTTGCCTAGACCACGGTCTTGCCCAACACAAGTTATAAATTCGGGCACCGCCGGGAATCGAACCCGAGACCCCAGGATTACAAGGCCAGCGTTATGACCGCTAGACCACCGTGGTTCTAGCCTTATATTAGATTTCAGTTTATTATTTTCAACTAACTTGATAAGTAATATCATGGCCATCCATGATACTTCAAGGTTGCTCGTATCTGATTTAAGCGTCTGGACTTAAGAGGCTTATAATTTCAATACGTTCCTCTGAAAACTGCTATTCCTTCCATACGAAATAATGTTTAAATGTTCGTGATAAGTCACTATAATTTCAGCAAAAACGTCGTTACAGAAGTATCACCCGCAATATTTGAATAAATAAAAATCTCTCAACGATCCTAAGAATATTACAAAATTACATTTAAATTCATTCAGATTTCTATTTTATGTATTATGTAACCACTCCCCATTCTGTTGTCTTTCAAAATCTGCAGCTTTGTTCTGGTTTGAAGGCCCTTCGCTTCTATTCGACCAGACCGAAAGGAATGAGAGAACCAAAATATTTGGACCTTTTCATCGAACCCGTAACTTCGGCTTAGACTGATATTGAGTCAACTTGAGTAGTCAATGCAAGTCTCTGACAAAGCGCTGTCCTCCATCTTGGTCTTCAGTTATGAAGTCTGTCAGTATGTCTCTGGAAAATTATACGTTAACCTTCGTCCTAATTACTGACGGGCTGTCATGCAGGGACAAAGAACGTTTCGCTTTGCTCCAATTGATGCCCAAACTACAAACGCGTGTCAAATATCATAATACAGTTTCTTCAGGAGCATCTGACCACATCTTATGTGAATCATTTATTAGGGGACAGAGCAGAGCAGTACAATTATGAAGATTTCTGTCTTCTGGGTTGTTGCGCTGTGTAGTCTGGTCGATGTTTACCAACGTTTCAGAGGTCATACTGCCTCCATCATCAGGGCGATGAGTATGAAGTTTTCCGTCTTCTGGGTTGTTGCGCTGTGTAGTCTGGTCGATGTTTACCAACGTTTCAGAGGTCATACTGCCTCCATCATCAGGGCGATGAGTATGAAGTTTTCCGTCTTCTGGGTTGTTGCGCTGTGTAGTCTGGTCGATGTTTACCAACGTTTCAGAGGTCATACTGCCTCCATCATCAGGGCGATGAGTATGAAGATCTCTGTCTTCTGGGTTGTTGCGCTGTTTTTCTGGACGATTCATCGCCCTGATGAAGGAGGCAGAAAGGACTTCTGAAACGTTGGTTAACATCGACCAGACTACACAGCGCAACAACCCAGAAGACAGAAATCTTCATACTCATCGCTGTTGAAACCTCAAATCTTACACAGTACAAGCGGATCAATTTGTTTAACCTCTGTTCTATATAATTAAAATTCTATCATCTGCATATGTTATTTAGAGACAAGTTATATGAGAAGTTGATGTTGTTTCGTAGTTTATTTAACAACGCTTTCTCAGCTACATGAGTTTTATATCATCAAAAGGGGAATGACAGTGAAAGGCGATTTAGAATATACGCCTATTACAATGCATGGGAAGTAAGAAAACCATTAAATCTGTCAGTGTAACCGGCCTCACTGGCAAGAATCAAACCCGGTACCTCCACAATACGAAGCAGAAATGTTTCTGACTTGGGTATTCTATCACCAGTGTAATTTTCTCCGCTGTAAATGCAATAATTATACAGACATTTCTCGGTTTCAAGACCCTAGTTTGTGGAAACGCGAGGCGCCACGCGGTGAGGTTGATACCAGAAGAGAGGCTTGTGTTTCAGTATACTTGAACAGGATTTAGAAAATCTTACTGATTAGCAGAGGTAAAGGCTGATACGCCGAAAGGACGCGTAATTTTCCACGCTGTAACTCAGAAACCATGACCTGTAACTGCTTTCTATGAGCACGTAGTCTTTTACTACAGGCTCGACCCACTTTTATCGAGTGAACTTATCATCGGTAACACCAGTTCCACATCTGGTCAACTAAAGATACAGAGATTATAAATATCTGAGTTCGTGTCCCCAAAGAGCACGCCCGCTGTAATAGCCAAGTTTTGTCCACTTCTTATGATTATCGATCGCGCTACTTTCAACAAAATCACAGCTTAAAATAAATTTCTTAACACTGACTGCTGTTCAAACTACCTTCGACTGAAAATCCAATGGAAGGTTTGGTTAATTGTGGTTTTTTACGATGCGCCGGTTGTCTCTCCAAGAAGAATATTTTTACGAGTAAAATTTGGTCATAAGACGAGCCGATGTACACTATTTTGTACACCCCGTGTTAAGTTTTCTAAAACAAAGTGTGAGACGTTTTAGAGTGTCAATTGAATAAAATTTTTGGATATTATCCATCGTCTAGTAAATATAAAACGTAAAACGACGTTTCAGAGATGGGACTCTATCTCTGTCTTCAGGTTCCTACACAATTGGGCCCACTAGATAGAGCTAATCCCACCTCCGAAACGTCGTTTTACGTTTTATATTTACTAGACGATGGATAATATCCAAGAAAATGTTTATATGTCCCATCTCCGAAACGTCGTTTTTACGTTTTATATTTACTAGACGATGGATAATATCCAAGAAAATTTTTATGTCCTATCTCCGAAACGTCGTTTTTACGTTTTATATTTACTAGACGATGGATAATATACAAAAAATTTATTCAATTGACTCTTCACCATCGTCAAGAAGTTTTAGAGTGTGCTCAGTTGAGCCAACCAAAGTCCTTCAAATTCGTTCATATGACACGTAAAATTTCACCTTCAGCATCAATCTCATTTATCGAAAACATTTCTAAAACATGAGAGTTATCAGATTGAAAGCGTAAATATAAAAACTGACAAGCTATAATGAAATCTTCTCGGGCTGCCAGCCGTGTCGGGTGGTTTAATGGAGAAAACACCAACGTTTCGAGAAATCCTCGTCCTCAGGGTACTGAAGTTGCATGGATCTCCTACAACTTCAATTCCCTGAGGACGAGAATAATTCATCAAACTCAGTCGCCGTGAAAGCTTCATATCATAACTGACATACTATTTGCAACCTAATATTCTACTGTTTGACTGACGTACCAGTTCCACGAAACTTGACTTGTCTGCAACACCACAATACAAAATTATACCATTAATTTTCATCAGTGCAACAAAAATTGCAGAACACCACAATCAATAACAAAACAATATTTACAATAATATAAATAAAGTATCCGCGGAAAAAATTCAAATAATTTATGACGCCTATTTCTCTAACCTATAA